GTGATCTCATAATCGATTAGTTGCAACTATAGTTGGCAACTAATCGATTGGCGAAATTTTACCAACTCGGAACACTAATCTACATGTAAATCTTTATATGATACTCTTGAAACAATTTTGAACAAACATTCTTACACATTTCTGAGTAATTATTAATTTATAAGCATTTGATGTTGATACTTGATTGTAATAAAAATTTTATTTCAATTAAATAGAATTGTGAATTGAAATTTCAAGAATAATACATTTAAAGTTTAATTTAGATTAACCTAAAATTAAAATTCACAAATCTATTAAAGCATTTTATCTTTTTACCCGTATTGTCGCGAAATAAAAGGATTATTTATCCAATTCTGGAAAATCCGCATCACATAATCCTGGACACCCTACCGTGAGACCGCAAAATCTTATGATCATATTGTGGCATTGTATTTGAACTGAGCAATTTTTTCAATTATCGTTATAAAAAAAACTACGAAATTGAATTTCTGAATTGATTATTACCAATTTAATGTTAAATTTTGTTCATTGATAATTTACCAACTTTAACATTAATAAATAAACCACCTCCTAGATAACAATAAACTAAATTAAAATATCAATATATGGATTGATTAATTTTTGCAGTGGTGGTTGAAATAATTATAAGATCGCATTGGGATCCAATTAATCCTCTTCAGCTATATCCTTTAATAATTGAAATAAAATTTTGATTCGAAATTTTTTAATTAAGTTATAAGTATGGTGATTGCATTAAGAAGTTCGAAGTATTTTCAATATACCAGATGAGCTTATAATCAACAATTTTAAATTTAATTCATTTCAATATTAATCACCTAAATTAAATACATTACTGGTTTACATATAAAATTGGTTCTTATCATCATAATGTTAAGATGAAAAGAATGTTAAGCAGAAAGCCAAAATGAGAACTGAACTGAATCATATTCCAGAAAAAGATTACAAGAAAATCAAAGAAAATTTGTCTAGATTAAATATTCCAACTTCCTCTGACGAAAAAAGAAGAGAGGAAGGTGTTCTTTGGGGAGAATGGCTGAAAGAAGAAAAGGAAACAAATTAATAAGATTCCTTGAAGTATGGCTTGATAATAAACTAAAAGAGACAATGATATATTTTTAACCAACCATGATCATAGAAGAAATTTAAAAATAAATTCTTCCGAGCACTTAAAAATCAAAAATGAAAACAGAATATTTCTTGAGAAATATTGGAAGGTTGATGAGTTAATAACTTTTTGGTATAGAAAGCATTTATATGAAGGGATTGGTGGTAACAAAGATGAAAAAACAGCAATAAAGTTATTTAATCAAGCAGCTGATAAAGATGTTGCCGTTGCCCAATTATGTTATGCATTTTCATTTATTAAAAATAAAAATTTGTGAGAAAATAGACCAGAATTTATTAAATATTTAACTCGATCTGCTGATAATGGTGATTACATTGCTCAGTATAATTTAGGTGATATATATTTTAATGGTTTATTAAAATTTCAAATTGATAAAGAAAAATGTGAAAGATATTTAAAGTTAGCAGCTGTAAATGGACATGGTAGAGCAATTGCATTGTGTGAAAAGAACAAGATTAAATTTAAATAGAAACTTATCAATCAAAAAGTAATATTATGGTTCACGTCATATATAAAATTCAATGCTTCAACTCATAATTTATTAATTCTGTATATTTTTTAATCTGAGTCTTTGCTAAATAAAATTTTGGTTTCTCAAACTAAAATAATTTCACAAAGATACGACTCATAGACCTTATACGAGAATTAAGCAAATCTGCTTCAAAATTTTGGAGGTGTTCAGAAGTGCGCCTCATAACCAATTTAGATTAGAAATCCATTTTTCTAAACAATATGTTGTGCAGGTATTTTTAATAACTTTAATAGTGATAATATCAATTTTATTTTTTAAAAAAAAATAGAATTTAATGCGTTTTTATAGTAAATTATATAGTTAATAAAATTTTTTTATTTTAATAATAAAATAATTAAATTGAGGTTCAAGTCTTTTTGCACCAGATCATAATAAACGTAATAACTGACTAACAATGGTTTCATACTTTTTATACTGTAATATCTAATGCAATCAACAAATTAAATACTATTAAATACTAGATTAAATACACGTCATAGTATTTCAGCATCAATGGATGCTGAAATAAGTCACATGATTAGTCAGTTGTTTTTTTTATTTAAATCTACTAATGCTATAAAAAATTCTTTTTAATCATGACATTCAAAGGGTAATATATATAATTATAATTTTAGTGTATGTTGATAACTTTAGCAGCTGACGTCAGGAATTAAAAATATATAATTTATAACCACTTTTTTTTACCAAACTATAATTATAATTGGATATGGATGGTACAGATTATTTTCAAATCAAGAAAGCTATTTTTATTTATTTAAGCATATATTTACAAGATTAGATCAACTTTAATTTCAAGCCTGCTAATGCAAATTGATAAAAATTTATTTAATAGGGTTCCGAATTCGTAACTCATATATCTCACCTTTTTATTTATTAAGTTGATCTTATGTTCAGGTAATGCTTCTTTTGACTCAAGAACTTTTTTGATAACTTTAAACCAATGATCTCTAATCATCTTAAGAATCATTCTTACTCTCCACATTGAAAAGACAAGATTTTTGGCCCTAGTTTTTTGGATAGACCTTTCTTCCGCATTTACTCCCTTATAATAAGAGATAGTTACTCTTGCTAAAATAGAACTCCTTATTAGAGGAAGTGCTTGCTGATCACTTATATTTATGATTAGCTCAATTCCTAACTCATAATAAACCATTAGGCAATAAGAAATCTTATTAGTTCCATTGTAAATTTAATACGTACAGTATGAGACAGCAGTGCAGGACAGTATAAAATATCCAATTTTAATAGATTTTTAAAAATGTTATTAAAAAAAAAAATTCTTTTTCAAATTGATAGTTTGTAACCCAAACAAAGAGGATTTTTATTTTTTAAATGTCAGAACAGTTGAAAGATTATCTATTTATATAACTTAAATTTGATGCACTAATTTCTTGATTGTTATATAAATTAACTAATCAAAATTAATCTTATTGCCATCTTAAATTTGGCGTTTTTATATGTAAACAGTGAATACTTTATGATGTTTCTATTAAATTTGGCGTAGTGGATATCCTATGTTGTCCCGTAATGCATTCAAAAGATTTTTTTAGCAACTCTGTAAGCAAATAACATACCTGTTGCCTGTATTGTAATAAGAAGAATAGCCAATATTTCCTTTGAAAGCTCCCTTGTTAAAAATTCTCCATAAAGAGATTGGATGCGAAATGGGTTGCGCTAAAGCAGCATTTAATGTTGGCCATTATTACGACAAAGGAGATTTAGTTGAGAAGAATGAACGTCAAACGTTCAATTTTTATCAACAATCTGCTCATTATTTCAGTATCTCGCTTATATCTATTTTGTCGAATTAAGTATTTATCTTCTACAAAATCGTCTGGATCGCATCTAACTGCAGTTTATATTATTTGTATAAATTCTTCACTGCTATTATGAAGAATCGTATCAGGTATGTAAGAGTCAAATACTAAGTTTCCTCTTATAAGCTTGACATCCTGAAAAGATATAAAGATAAACATTATTGTGAGTGTTATAAATCTTGTAAATCAAAATTACCTTCCTACGCTTCGTTACTTTTACCAATTAATAAGGACAAAATTAATATTAATTACATAGTTGATGAATTTACTGGTTTAAATGAATATTTACCTTTAGACAGCACAGTTAAAAAAGAACATGGAAGTAAAGAGAAATAATAATTTCTTTAGTTTAGTCTCCAATGTAAATAATATATTATATTTAACAATTATTCCACTTAAATTTTGAATTTCAGGATATGCAAGAAAATTAATTGATTAATGTATTCTACAGAATTATTTTTAAAATGTTGATTTAATATTTTTTAAAACTATTTTCTTTTCAACTTATTTGTTAATTTTAAATTTTGTTTTAATTAGCGAATTAATTTAACTAAAAAGTGTAAATTCTCCTTTACAATCTCTTTTACAACTCTTTTACAATACACCTCTTCTTAACAGAATTATTTTAATTACAGTATTTTCAAATTCTACAAGTTAATATGGATTCGAAACATTGAAATGAGTTGCTTTATTTATTTTAATTGAAATTATTTCAATTTACTATTAATTGAAGCTTATTATATTATTATGTTATTTGAATAAATTATATAATTTCTATGCAATGTTAAAGATAATAAATCAATTGAATATGAGAAATGCCATGCAAATATTTAAAAAAATAACAAATTTTAAAAATAATTGAACATAATTGTATTTTAATAAGAATAGAAATAAAAAATATTTAAATATGATAAGTTTATAGAATCCTTCGAACTTTGAACTTGAATTCTAAAATGAGCAAAACAAAAAATCTTTATGACAAGAAAGTGATCAACCAATTGGAGTTAGATTTTTTCACTGTAAATATGACAAAAAACGGTGAACAATATTCTACTGTTAAAGTCACTAGTCCAGCTCCCTTCGCTAAATCTTTTGTGTATTATCTCATTATCTGGCATAAAAAGATTTCAACTAAACAAGATTACCTAAATCTACAGAAAGTATCAGAAGAATATGGTTCGTCAAAACAGCTTAGAAGCACAATTGTAGTTGCTAAAGAATTAGGTTCTGATGAACTATTAGAAGCTTTTATGCATACAACACAAAAATCTCTCAAAACATATAATTGCAGTGAATATTCATTTATTTCTTTACTCAAAGAAGAATTTTACGATATTTGTGTATCAAAATCATTAGATTCTAAATCACATTAGATTTGCTAGTTAGTCAAAGAATTTTTTGGTCTAAGATCATTGAATTGTAATAGGCTTTTTGTCAGTGCCTTACTAATCTTACTTCAAAGATTTAAGAGTAAATCTTTTTATTAAATTTTAAAGGAATAATAATTAAGGAATAATAATTTAGTATAGTACAAAAAGCTGCTTTTTTTCTAGGTTCAGTATGTATAATAAATAAAGCTACAATTTCTGTTTGTGTGAAACAAAATACTTAGTAATACATGCGATTCTTCATGACCTGTTTACACTTTTTTTTTAAAACTTTTTGATAAGTTTAGGTCAGTGGGTTATTTTAAGAATTTTTTCAAGTTTATCTCCACAATGTTCTAAAGTTGAATTGCAGAGACTTATTTCAGCATCCACTGATGCTGAAATATTATGACGTTTTAGCATTTTTTATAATTAAATTTTAAGTTTTTTAAAGTAAATAATTCTAAGAAATAGTGACAAGTATTAATGAACGCATGATCAAATAGAATTTGATTTGTAAAAGCTTTTCTTTGGATATTTATAATTTATCCAAAGTAAACTTTGAGCAATTGGTCAGGTCGACAATATAAAACAAAGTGGTGGCTGAAGCTGAAAATTTTAATATTTTATTATGAAAATTCTAAATTTTTTTCGAGTGCATTTTTTATATGAAGCATATATTATGACTTTGATACTACGTATGATGAACCACTGGACTGGTTCCCAGGCATATCACGAATTAATAATAATAAGCCATGTAATTATTTGTTAGGTAATTTTAAGAGTACGTACTTCGACCGATAAAGCGAATAGAGATCGGTTTTGAATTAACCAATGACAATTCAATACGATTAAATGAAAGAATAGGACTTTTGTGTATCCATGTTTAAATTATGTGAACAAAGAAGTTTCCATAGTAATAATTTGTTTTATATATGTAGTTAGGTTTTATATGATATTTTTTTTTAAGGAAAAAATTACACATGCTAATTAAAGTTTATTTCGCAACTACTCTGCCTCAGCAGTTCAAAATGGTCCCAACAAATTGTTGTTCTTATTAATAGAATTTTTTTCTTATATATGCGAAATTAATCTTTAATTTTATAATACAATTCCTTTGCTTCAGCATGTTCTTTTTCAGCAGCCTGTTGCAACCATTTATTAGAATGTTTAACGTATTCTAAATTTTGCGCATTTTCTCCTTTTGCAATTCCTTGTTTATTAATACACAAGAGACTCAAAAAATATTCGGCTTCTGGATATGACCCCAGCTCGGCTAGTTTTAAGAGAATTGGAAATATTTCTTCTTCATATTTTTTTTTGTTTTGTCTATATTTTTCAGAGCAAATCTTAAGAATAGAGTTCTGCTGATCAAGGGTGCTCATATTGACAAGTTCAGGCAAATAGAGACACGTATAAAGTACTCATTATTCCCCACTTTATTAATTGTTTTTTATGGGGATTTACGTGTTATTTTTGCAATGATTTATTTTTAAACTCAGT